AAAACGAGAAAGGAAACGAAATCGCACGCGTTTCCTCGCTGTATTTGCGATGACGTCAACTGGCCAAAAAAAAAAAATTCGCGAGACGATCTACTCTACTCCGGTCCTCCGGACTACTCCGTCCTTCGCAGCATCCTTGGTCGAGCCCTTTAAGGTCCGCTCGCGGTACGTGGCCGACCTGAATTCGCCAGACCCTGACCACGTTATACAAGCAGGCAAGTTTCGAGTTCTCCGTCCGGCAAATCCGTTTATGGAAGACTGCTCCCATTCCCTCGAAATTATTTCAAAGAGAAGGACCTCCTTAGTCGCGCGGACGAATGATCGATATTTTCCCGAAGCGGAACCGAGTCGGATTATACTCGAGAGAAGGAGAAGATCGATCGAACGAAAAATTGGGTTACACACGCGACGACGGAACTCGCGGGGAATGTAAGCGTTGCGAAGGTGGATAAAGAATTTATTCGAGAGTTGATACGTCGACGACCTCGTTCAAGAAAGATAAGACCGGCCAGACGGCGCGTGCGAATAGGAACGAATCGAGAATGAGAACGAGTTTCGAGTTGAAAAGAGAATAACGTAACATAGACAATCCGCGGAGGACACGTTGTTTTGACAGCCGTACACTTCCACTGAGCTGCTACGAAGCACTTGAAGCCGAGACGCTAAGAAAAACAGTGATAAAATCTTCTCTTTAAAGAGAAATCGACTTCCAATTTATAAATAAACTTCGATCGGAGCGGAGAAACGCGACGTTTGAAATACAACGGGTACAGATACGCCCGCGTCAGTCATAGGTACTTTTTGAGAGATCGCAAAATAAAAATGAAGTGACGAATGGAGTACGCTCAATTGGCCGACCGCTTATCGAATAAATCATCGGAATAATGCCGTGCCTTGTTCGTCGATGGATCTTACATCATTACGATCTTTCTTTCATCGCGAAGAATGAGAGTACGATGGTACAATGACCTCATCATCATCTCGTGCATAACGGTGGAAGAATTTTTGCGATACTCGTGAGGGAGAAAGGCGGAGAAAGGGGGAGAGAGGGGAGAGGGGGAGAGAGAGAGAGAGAGAGAGAGAAGAGAGAAGAAGAAGAAAGAGAGTACTCGATTTCCGTTATATTATCTCTCTTATTGAAATAAATGGATAATTCTATGATTATACCGTCTCGCGTTGCAAAAAGAAAAGACGGACGTCGTGCATCAACGACAAACGACGTCAATTTTCTCGACCGCTCGTCACGTAAAAATTTATTTTCCAACGTTAAATTTATTAGATTTAACTTTTTCGTTAAATTGCGCCGTCCATATTGCCATTAGTCGGAATATGTTTACGCCCCGCGTCTCTCTTGTGTAATTCATAAGCGTAATCGCGTCGTCCCGCATCTCGCGCTCGGGTTGTTTGTTCACAATGGCCAAACATTATTCCGGTCCGCCGGTATGACGACTAGCGTGAATTTATTTTCGGCGACGGTTATTTCCGTCCAGGTCGGCGCGAGAACGTTAGAGAAGGATCTCGAAAAGACGCGCGTAGAAATCCCTGAGCGGAGGAATTCTCGCGCTCCGATATTTTACTTCCTGTTGCTGAAATTTTAATTTTCGAAGCGGCGCAGAGGAGGCGCATAAATTCGTTGAATTTATATAAATATTACCGACCACGTTCAAGTGGAATAAAGTTACATTTTCCGAAAGTATCGTCGAAACCGCAAAGTGAAATGAGACTTCACCTCGACTGCGAATTCGATCGCTTTACTCGATGAGGCCGCTCTCCTGACGGGATGTGACGTAACGCGAACAATTACAATGTTCCACATAGTTCATAAAGATCCACGAGTACTGACAAAGTAATTTGCATGTCTCGCCACGGTAACATCCGATCAGTTTCGCTAAGTACAATTTAAATATATATCTTTAAAAAAATTATATTTTTATATTTTTATATAAAAAAAATATAGTAATCTAAATAATTTCCAAATAACAAATTTGTTAGTATTTCAAATAATTTCCAAGTGTCACAAGTCAATCATTTTTCGGTGAATATTAATTATACGCGGACTGCGCAAATAAATAGATCAATAGAAAATTATGGCGGTGTGCAAATTTGCGAGTAATTAACTCGGCTTTATGACGGCACATCATGCATGACGGACAAGTTTCTGTCGCGCCAATCCTCGCCAATTGCGCAAAAACTTGAGCCCGATTTTCGTGTTGCCAAGTTGTGTAAGACACCGTCCGGACGCGTATCGCGCATGATGAGTCAACCGTATAATAATTTCGGATTGCCAGATGAATCGAGCGAAATCACGCGGCGATAAATTGAAAGATTCAGCGTCTGAGGACTCTCTCAAGTAAGTTACACGCGAGAAATGTTTAAATATAAATTTTGTTTATCAAAATATCCAAAGAAATGACGCTATAAAAAGAACATTATATTTATATATTCTTTTAAAATTATTTTCAACATTGAGTCCCTTATGTCCCTGATATTCGCAGTCAATGTACGCTTCGTAAACAAATGAGATTAAATCGCCATCAGGTTCTTTGGCTTGAACTTTAACCGCGCGGAGCTTTCACTTACCAATAGCTTGTTGTCTACAGTCTTGACGACGATTTCCTCAGGCGTGTATTGCGAAACGTCGAAGCGCAGCTTCAGCATCTTGCTGTCACCCTCGTCCTGGATGAGGGGACTGTTGAGGCCGTCCAACCAGGCATGATCGTGTTGAGGACTCAAAGAACTGCTGTTCTGAGTAGACTGTTGCGTGGTGGTGCTGTAATTTAAAACGAAAACTTCGATTATCGCCGACGATCATCACTCGTGCATAAACGTAAAGTCTAAATGAACGGTGAGACATTTGAGACGTTTGAGTACATTGATGCGATGATGAGCGATGTTGGATATCCGTGATTATTAACGTAAAACCTGTTGACTATACTACGATTGGTGCGATAATATGAAGCCTTACTTACGGTGGTGATGACGATGGACAGACAAATCAAATAAATACACGCAGAGACTGATTTTAATACAAAATCGTGCGTTAATATCGTCAATACTAAAAGACCGGCGCTTTAAACTTTATGTTTAAAGTAACATAATTCATGTACTTTTGTTGTCGACACAAATTGATAAAGTAAGAAATTTGTATAATTTTGTACGATAAGAAAGTTTAATTATTCACTTGAAATGCTAATTGGCTAATTTAGTTAAACATTTATGCCGTCTTTTTGGCGTTGAACGACGTTGAACTGACATTATTTGAATTTAATTCTTGCACGCAAGCACTACAAAAATCACTGAAATCGTGAGGAACATAAAATATATGAATTGTGTCAAGAGGGCAATAATGTCACCGTCCCAAGTACGAGAACACAAAACGTGCAGACATTCGTTTGTTGTACTCGCTCTAACGCGATTACAACTGCGTTAACCCTTTGTAGAAAAAAAATATCGTAATGCTATTAATTTTTCATCATTGGTAATCTTTGGTCAATTAAAGTATTAACCAATTAAATTATTTAAAAACTATTATTTAAAAAAAATATTTAATGGGTAAATTTGGCAATTACTAATTCTTTATTAAATGTTCAAAAAATAATTTAATCACGCAATAATTAAACTCTTAATTTCGGGATTTCGCGTACTAATTAGATCATAGAAACAACCAAGAACTTTGTCTCTTTTTCGCAGTATTCAAATTTAAATATATTCTAGCGGCAAACTATACTCGTGAATCTACTTCACTCTTCGAATTTCTCATTCTACGAAGGGTTAGAGATGCAAATTCGAGAGATAAACAAAACAGTGCAGGATAAATACTTCCGGACTAACAAACGTAAAGTGCGGTTCAATTTACTACTACTATCTCAAAACGAAGCGTCGATCTACTTCCGGTCCTCCGGCAAGTTTTACAAGTTTAATCGGGGATGCGCGCCCTTGCGACGCGCAACGTTTTCCGATCCTATGGACCGATCGTCCCTACATCGATCGACTCGTTTTCTCGTGGGTTTCTGTGCAATTTCGTTTTTTTTTTTCTTTCTTTTTTTTCTCTACGATAGCGTCACCTTTTGAAGCTGTCGAACGCGGACCGCTTTGACGGTGCTGCGGGGTCGATCTTGTCCCAACCTTCGGTCTTCGAGGTCGTCGACGTGCGGTGCTCGCTGGTGCTCGTGTGATGCCGACTTCATAGTTAGTCACGTGCCAATGCAGAGAGCCATTCGGTAGGCGAGACAGTAGTCGAGCGCGGGAAGAGGGATTGTTGTTATTATTATATCGGTTAACTTTGGTGGTTACGGAATCGTCCGAGTTTAATGTTAATCCACGTGGTTACGTTAGCTTCGCTTCTCTGTTTCTTGGCGTTACAGTTCGAGATTAATCTCCGTCCCGCAGTTTCCTCGGACTGGCTTCCACCAGCGATCAACAGTTATTCGTCAGCTGGTCTGAGATGCTTTCTAGATTTCACTAACGACAAGTAACTCTTGCTTGCTATTTACTATCTTCATCAACAAGCACCAGTTGTTCCGGACGAATAAATAATCAAATCTATTTGAATCTATTTGGAACTAACTTTGGTCATGCAAATTTATGACGATCGTATTGTGTAACAATTGTTTAATCAACAAATAACTGTTCCAAGTTTATTCATCGCTGATGAAAACCATCCTCAGTTAAACTACGATTGTATATTTGTAATCGTCAGTATCACTATCTAGAAATTCCAATTACTGTTGTTAAATTTTTATAAAAAAAAATCATACGTATTATATTAACGAATTAATATTAAGTATGTTTGTGATATTAGAAATGATAACTTGCACCAAGAAACAACGAGCGAGCGACGTTTCCAGCAAAACTCGATTAAAAATTTTTTTCTTAATTTGTCATTATTTTTGTCTTATTTTTACTTATAACTAGATCTTACTGTTAGAAGATATATTTTATTTTATCTAGGAAATTCCGCAGTGCGATCCTTTAAAAGAATGCTCAAGATTGAACTGCGGAAAAGATAATCTTGCAAGATTTATTATTTGTTCACATCTATAAAGATCATATATACTATAAAATTATAAAAATAAATAAAAAAAGAGCGCTAAATTCTTACTAAATAAAAATATCGCGTGCACATATTAAAAACTATAATACCATAATACTTATCGCAAAATACTCTCTGAATGCTGGCAAATCGCTTCGAAAAGAGAACAAAAAGCAATAAGACAATCGACACACGTCAAATACGTAGCAAATGAATCATAAAAGCTATATACAAATTATTTGTACAACTTAAAAAATTAATAAGCACACTCCGTAAATACGTATATTTTTTATTTTAAATTTATAAAAAAAAAGAAAGATATGTCGTTAAAACGAAATTTCTCGAACGGGTACTTGCGTTTTTATATGGACGATCTTTCTCCATAGAGATCAATGCTGCACTAATTACTGCCGATAATCGACGTTAAATTTGTTAACGGCCCCTTGAGAAAACTCCGATCGATCATAAACGTGTTTACATGCAGATAAGAATCAGATTATTTGTAGCCCAGCGTGAAATAATGCTGCCCCGAAGTAAATGTCACGATAACCGGAAGTCTTGTCTTGTCTTCGGAGAGGTCGTCGACTCACTACGGAGGATACTATAAATAATATGTAATTACGTCGTCGCAGCTGTACTTGTGGCGAGGGTGATCGTGATTTCTCAAGTCACGTTTATCTGTGTGTTACCTTAACTGTGTCTTCTCGGAATTAACGACTTCGACTTAATCGTAAAACAATTCTACTCTGCATCGCTTTCCATTTTCCATTTTCCAATTTTATTTATTTTGTGCTTCTTAAAATTCATACTTTGAAATAAATTTAGGATCTGCGCTTAAGTTAGAAGAATCTGCAGCTGCAGCATTAATATCGCAAGAAATGATCATGGATTATTTTTTTTATAATTGCTTACATATAAACTTGAAGAGATTATTCTTTTTAGCAACATTCTAGCGGGATCCTCGTGTAAGCCACAAAAAATTCCTTTGTTCCTAATTACATTACATACATTATATCGTAAATTTACAAAAATATTTAAAATTCTTTTTTTCACTGAAATATTTTGTCCTTTCGGGAATATAAATCATATTTTATGCACAAATTAATTCGGTAGAAATTAACGTTCGAGAGAAATGAGATCCTGTATGATATTTACGAAGTTTTGTGATGGTCGAATAAAATTTATGACAGTAAAACGATTCTAAGAACGAAATGTCACTATATCCCGTCACGCAATGTAACGTGTTTAACAGTAATAACGACTGTTTTCCGCGCTTCATTTCTCCGTGCGTACTGAACGTAGATATTGAACAAAGAAGCGACTGGTGCAGTGCAATAAATATTTCCCTCAGCTTACACGCAATTTTTCAGCAAAAATCTCGACGGTACAAATACGTATGATTTATACTCTTACAAAAATCTGAGATATTACATTTCTATCAAACTGTGATTGAATCCAAGCGAGTAACATTTAAATTTATCACGAGACGTTCACCAACGGGAAGTGCAAAAGGTTCGAGTAAAACCGCAAGAAAGCTACGTGGGAAAGAATGGGAAAGAGATGCGGTAGAGAACAATTATGCTAGACGGGAGAAAGGTCGGATCTCGTCTCATGAAATTGAGGGAGGTCAACCGTAGCGCGCAGGCTCTTACAAAACTTGTGACTCGTCGGAATGAAAAGGCCATGCGAAAGGAGACGCGAATCACGACGGAGTTAACTTTAATCCAGCTGTCACGTTATTTTACAATTTTATTCGTACTGTAATGGCCGTCTAACATTATCGATTTAATTAAATAGATGAAATATATATACAAAATTAATTTACGAAATAATTGGAAATATAATTTTAATGTCATTTTTTTTTATATTATATATAAAAGAGATGTCTTTACAAATATTCTTTGTAGAAACCAGGAAGAGAAAAAGAAAAGAGAAACGCTTTGTTAAAGAAAAAAGTGTAGTAAAAACGAACATGAAGCAATAGGATTTACCGTCGATATACGATAAAGTCGGTGATGTTTCTAATCTAATCTGTTTATTTATGTTTATTACTTGAAATTGTTGAAAGCGATTTTACACTCTGTATCAATCTTGAAATATCAATATACAGATATAACGGACAAGTAGGACATTATTGTTTATATCCTCGATTTTTTCAACGAGTGACGAAGAATTTATCATTCGTCCACGTCGCAAATCATATCTAGTTAATCACTTCTATTGAATAAGATAATCAATGTGTTACGAGCACGTTTCGGCGGAATCATATTTAGCCATTACGCGATGCCAATGGTCGGCTGGGAGTCAATGAATCGCTTAACTCACAACTCGTCACACTAGTCACACATCGTCGGCATTGTGTAACAGAAAGACCGTCGTTGTATTCCGAAACAAAAGAAGCGCGCGCGCGCGCGCGCGCGCGCGCGTGTGTGTGTGTGTGTGTGTGTGTGTGTGTGTAGAGAGAAAGTGTTGAGAATGAGTGGAAAATAAATCTTTCTCTTTCTCTGCCATGCTTGCATCGTTGTTCGAGTCTTCGATCGTGACTACTGCCGACAGTACGTCAGTTGTCGGCGAAAGTTCAAGCATAAAGTTTAGTATAGTTCGCCAAAGTCAATTAGCAAGCTATTGCCCTGTCTATAAAAGGTAATTTCCTGTTGCTGCTTGAATCTCAACGCGCTATGGCGCTTGAAAGTCTAGCTCGTCTATCCGAAGCCATCGCGACAGGTAGATTGCTCCGATATCGGATCTATGAAATTTTTATCTCCGTCCGTAGCAAAGAGATCAAGAAACAAAACGTTGCGAATGATATAATTATATAATTAATATTCTACATATGTATATCACAAATTTTTTTCTTAAAATAAAAATTAATATTTTTAAAATATTTTTTAAAACATTTTTAAAAAAATTTATATGCGTGAAAAGATATTTATTTTTTCAAAATGATAAAAGAAATTTAGTTATATTAATTCGAGAAATTTTCAGCGCTTCAGCATTATTTAATAATATATTATTTGATGCTGAGTTGTAAAATAGTCCTTTTCCTAACTAATTAAGTTAGATTCAAGGAGTAACGGAGGAAAGAAATGGACGGAGGACAGCATTTGGACCAGATGCGCGAAGAATCGACAACAATACATCTTACTGTCTACAAATTAGATAGTCTACGCATTAATAATACGTCTGCGTCGAAGACTCGCCACTCTACGTGATGTGCCGTACGTACACGCTTGTCTATTTGCGGTGACCGTCCCTGAACATGAGAATTACGTCAGAAACACGTGATTATTCGGACTTCGTAATGGACCATATTCACCTCCCACGAGTAATCCATCAAGAATACACGATCGACAACGAGCACCTGCTTACCATGATGCATATTTATAGAAACACGTCGGACAGAATCTTTTATGTCAATGACGACACATGTTTGTCGCCAAAGATCTAGCTAGAAAGATTTTTTAACAAAGAAGTCTGTAAACAATTAAACCAAAGAATTTTAATATATTAAATTAAAAAAATAAGTACGCCTCTAATTAATAATACAGGAGAAAAATATGTAACAGTAATCAAATTAATTACGTGACAAAATTATTTTTCGTACGAGTGAATAAATCTAAATGATTCTAAACGCTAATGCGGATGCGTTCAAACGCAAACTTGCGGAGGGCAACGTACCGAAGTTTGATGACCGTTTTATGCGTGGGTGGATAGAGATCCTCGTTCAGGATCATCGCGGTTTGTCTTGATCCTTGCCGGCGGAGTGCGAGTCGATGTACCGAGTCGGTGTCGTGCGAGAGCGCGTCTCGCTTTAAAGCGCGAACCGCGACGATGCGGTCATCTCGATGTCGTAAAAATTACTGCGTAAAATCGCTCGTAGGATCCCTGCAAGCTCCTCACCTTTCCTGCACCGCGATTTAGTGCTTGATTCTAGGCCCCCCCCTCCCCCTCCATAGTGAGGGAGGAGGGGCTTTCGCAATCGAGCAACACGATACAATGTCAAGGCCACATTGACGTAATGATGTTCCGTACGTCTGTTTGTTTGTCTTCCACGCGAAATGCCAATCTGATTTCAAACGGTATGTAAAAAATAATGTTAATTCATGATGCGCGTAGCGATTGCAATATACATAAGCAGCACCTCTGGCACAAGGATAATAACTTCAATAAACGTTATTTGTAATTTTTATAATTTCGATAAATGTAATTTTTAATTTTTCTAAAATATTTTTCTAAGAGAACTTCGAGTACGCTAGGCGAATTTATTTCGATTAGGCAGAATGTTTTGATATTTGGAATTATTAATTTATTTTTTTTCCGTGTTCCTAGCTCTTGCTTTTTTATTACTAATTGTAAGTATTTTTAAAACAATTGCTGCATTCAGAAGATGCGATCGTGTGCGTGTGCCGTCAAAAATGCAATGAATGCATCCGTTGTGCGTTCAACGAGACGTATGCGATGTAATTGCGTAATAGACATCGCTTGTAATTCCGCGGGCGACACGTACAGCCGCGCATTTCCCACATTTAAAATACGCCGGGTTAGCACGGATGTCCTCTTATCGCGCCACGAAACGATTTCACTCTACTATCTATCGTATAAAATTTAAAATTTCTAAATTCCTCGCTGATCTGTTGATAAACAATTTGTGGAAAACATGAACACGTGATATAAAATCATATATATAAATAGCGAGTAACAAAGTTTCATTGAAAATCGTTTCGCTTCATGAGAAATAAGCTGAGTCGGAGA